AATAAAAAAAAATTAAAGAAATTACATATAAAATGAGAACTTTTAAATAGTTGATTTGATATTAACATTGATATATTTTTTTTTTTAAATTTTATAATATCTTCAAATTTATATTTTATTCAAAAATAAAATAATTATTACTTTCTTAAAAACACATAAAATCGTATTATAACATCAACAGAGACAAATAATAAAATAGAGCATTAAAATCGAGATGTGTCTCACTGCATTGCATGAGTACTCTTCTAGTATATAATAATAAAAGTTGAATAAGATATTAATATTTGATTATAGAGATCTATTTTATTTACCTTAAGAGACCTAACATTTTTACCTCCATTTTTTTAGTGTTGGATAGGAGATGAAAACACCCCTATTTTTATGTTTTTAATGTTAGGTTGGAAATAGTCTTATAGGTTAAGATTGTCGATCAGTACCATACTCAACCGATAAGGTAAGTGACACCCGCCAAGTGTTCGGTATCCATATTCACTTTCATCTCCCAAAATTATCCTCTCTCGAAACAAATCAAACACCCATCAGAATCGTAGGTATCTGAGCAAACTTGCACACAACTCCACCAATCCTATGGGCCTAGGAAAACAACCCAATGAAGTCCCCAGATCTTTTAGAGAGACTCGAACTGATGACCTTTGGAGAAGAGTCCCAAAAACTCTAGCCTTATTATTGGTAAGCTAACCCCTCGAGATCAAAAATCGTAGGTTTCGTCTTTTTGTGTTTTTTTCTTTCACATCGATAGAAACCACATCTTAATCTCTACGAAATAAACGAGAATCACAAAGGGGCCGTTTACCTAATTACTTACCCGGTAAGCACTACCCGTAAAATTTAACACTCAATCTGCAAAGCAGGTGGTCGCTCTGGGATTAGTCGGCTCGCATAGCGGGTTGGATATCCAGGTTAATCAAAAAAAAAAAAATCAACATTGTCGCTTACTTACCGGGTAAGATTTTAGTCCACGAAAAAAGCATTGTATGCAACAATTTACCCGGTAAGCACTAACCGTGGTAAGAGCTATCACTCTCACCTACCGGGTAAGACTTTCGGTCCTTGTTTTGTTCTTATCGAGTAAGATTCTTAGTCCTTACCATATTCATCTGGTAAGGTAACGTCACTTGATAAATGCTTACCCAAGTAAGCGTTCAGTAAACGGCCCCAAAGTAAAAATGTAGAATGACAAAAACAAACAAGACCTATATTTATCTTCTCATCTCACTAATATATATAGTTATATAGTATATACAAGATTGTATAACTACCTATATAATAGTTACACACATTTTCAGACTTTTCCTACACTGCCACAAAATTGATATCATATCGCCACAAAACTTGCATGTAAGACCATGTATAAAACCTAATGGAGTTCTTTTAACAATAAATGATGTCCCTACAGCTTTAGCCTAGCAGATAAAGAGGCAGAGCGTTCTTGCAAAACGATTAAGACAACTAATTGCTGAATACTTCAGACACTTTTAAGCACATCTATAATACAAGAAGCTTGTTTTCGATTGATTTGTACCTTGAATGGATTCACCTCTTCAGCTGCTCTTGGATGGTTCTGCACAAAAACCAAACCAAATACCATGATAAGCATTTGATGTTTTTGTTATGAACCAAATTGATTGAACAACTGAAATTGAAACCAATTGATCAAGACACTGTCGGAAAACGAAGAACAAACAAGGATTCAGGAGGCTAGAAAACCCGCTAATTTTCTGCATACTTCTCCTTACAACCAGACCAACTAATTTATACTCATAGCATAACAGGATTATTCTAGGTATGACACAAATGCCCTCTTCTGCTAACAGAATAATTCCCAAAAATCACGAAAATACCCCCTTCAACTTCAGTGATGGGTCAGTGTGTAACAGTTTTCTTCAACTTCACCATGGTTTCTGTTAAAAAGCCAAGTCGAACCGAACAAACTCTATATATCCCACAGAAGTAGGGTCCGTGGGTGGGATGTAAGCAAACCTTGTCTCTACCCCCAAGGGGTAAAAAGACTCTTCATGAAGACCCCAACTTGCAAAACAAAAGTTATGATGATACCGATGACGCATCAAGGAATTTTGGTGATGGGGGTTGGAATTTAAATTTATAAATTTTTGGGGGTCAAAAAACTAAATATATTTAAAAAAAATTGAAAATTTTATGGGGGTCAGTTGATACAGGTGAGAGAAGTAGCAGAGGAGTGTGCTGCGTGCAAACAGCCATGGTTTCAGTTGAAATTTTGAAATGCTGAATACAGGATAGAAGATACTAAGCGGAAAATGATAGAAGGTAGACCTGCTCGGACATAAGAAGTTAGGCAGATCATGGAGTGCATCTTAAAACGAACATTAATGTTGCATGGATCTTGTTCAACTCAACGGAATGCAGAACTTGCTAAGTAGACGTGTTATACAAGGGAAATATTAAAATTCAACTCTGTTTAATAAGCTTAAACAGCATGTAAGATCAGGCACTTGGTTGGTTTTCTTGAAAACGAATATATTTCACGAGCCACAAACTTACTAACCGATGAAAATGAAACAAAGCAAACCTAGTATATTCCATGTGGAGGTAGGGTCTGGGATGGGTTGGATAAATAAAGAAAAATTAATGCACCAGACGAGAATCGAAGCCAGGCCTGTACCGTGGCAGGGTACTATTAAACCACTAAACCACCGGTGCTCGTTAAACTTACAGACTGATGCAAAAATGCAAATCGCAACACTCTAGAAAAAGAAGGTACTAGAATGGTCATGTGATGTTAAGATTGCACCAGGGTGATCATTAAAGGAAAAAAAGTAGAAACAAAAGGAACATCACGGGATCTTTCTAGAAGCTGGGGGTAGAGGTACAGTCTGCATACATCTTACCCTTCCCAACCCTACCTCGCTTAGGGATATACTGGGTTTGTTTGGATTGTTTTCGTTTGGGATCTATCTAGGACAAAGAATAAGAGGCAAGTCGTTGCAGGAGAAGGGCAAGCCACAAAAAACAATGGTCCAATCCAGAAAAGATATTACTCGTCTACGTGCCACTCTATCATGAAGTGAAAAGTAGGGAAGAATAGTAGCAGCATCATGAAATCATCTTTTAAAGATAAAACAGTCGCTCTTAGGTCAGACTCAAATGTGGAGGGTTGAGGGTTCATGACGTGAAGAAAGATAACTTGCCGTATTATATATGATGCATACATTGACAATATATAACAAATATACACCTTCACCTAAGAAGAGTTACTATCACATATTTGATTGACGCACTCGTTGACATCTGCTAAGGATATAAACTCGAGATTTGCCAATTGAAGTAAACCAACCAAACACAACCAGTATGTCACACTCGGATGTAGGGTATGATGGGGTGGGATGTACGCAAACCTGTCATCTACGCCAAAGAGTAGAGTACCTATTTCCGTGAAAACTCTTGGCTTCCGAGAAAGTGTTTCCAAAGGACTTTGGTGAAGAAAGAGTACTCCATAAAGTTGGTCAAAAATGTTTTGGAAGAAATGAAAAGCACGAAAGACCTTGGCACCAAAAAGGTAACATATAAAGAACTTTGGGAAGTAGAACCAAGACTAGAAAATGTTGACAGTAGAACAGGTTCAACAAGTACAGAAAGCATAAGAACTTATAGGAACTGTACGACAAACTAAACTTGAGGCTCTAATATCTCATCTATCGGTTCTCTAACCTTCCCCCTAATCACCTTCTACCCTTCCAAGCTTCCCTCTTCCCAACCACATTAGCTACAGGTCCCTACACATAGTCTGCTACCATAGTCATGCGTCGCCACGAACTCTGATAAAAAGGTCAATTGAAATGTATTCTCCAAATGAATACAGTAGCATCTATCAAGTAACGATATGATATTCAGGGAGATCTGACAACAAAATCCCACCATAGTAGTCTTTACGACAATCGGGTCAAATATTCTTTACGCAAAAAGTAATAAACCACACAAAGAGGAGTTACCACAGGAAAACTTCAACTTATCTTGACTCGATATACTCCTATTATCTTAAAAGGAAACTTCAAGAAATGGAAAAAACAGGTTGTTTGCATGTAGAAACTAAAAAGCATAACTAAGATGGAAGCAAAAAAAACTTAAGAGTACCTCAATTAGTTTGACTACGGTAAGGACCCCATCAAAATCTCAATTGCAGAATCTGTGTACAAACAACAGTATAGACCACAGCCACTTTCAAGCTGCTATTCTTATTGCACCCAGTTCATCCATCTTTGAGCTCTTAAGCTACAAAAATAACAAAATTATAAGTCAATAGGAAAATGAAGAAATCACTAAAAAAGTAGAATAATGCACCACTTTAGATGGAAAAATGTTCATTCAAATTTACCTTACTATTCTTGTGCCTGTGAATGCCATTGAGGTCCTCATCTCCATCATGTTTCCTTTTCTGAAACCATTCCCAAATAATATGATTAATTCTGACTTAAAGACAGGGAAATTTTGGTTATGGTTCACTAGAAACGGGGTAAATTTATGTGGGTTAGTCAAATTACCAACCAAAGGTTACACTTGCGTCAATCAAATAACTCAGCGAAGTACTTCCTGAAGCTAAGTGATTATTCAAACAATAAGAAAAAAGAGCGTCGGCTAGCTAACAGCCAAGTGCTTACCATGAACCTCCTATTCTTCATACCAAAAAATTTGATACTTCTGAAAAGAAAAAGCAGTATAAAATGATGTAGCATCTAACCTTCTCATTGGTTTTCTTCAAAATTTCAGCAGCCATTGTTTTATCATTCTTCTTTTCCTTGTCCTTATCTTTACTTCGATCTTTATGATGACGTCTGTGTTTCTTATGCTCTTTATTCTTCTCCCTGTCTTTGTCCTTGTGCTTTTTATGCTTCTTATCCTTGTCCTTCGATTCACTTTTAGATCTTCCAGTTTGAGTAGGAATCCCTTTCTCTGACTATAAAACACCAAAAGACATAGGTTGGATATCTCAAAAACTGTAAAGAGTAATGGAAAAGCAGACAGTGCAAAGAGAGCACCGATATTTCACTTAAGGCAGAGCAAGATACAATACGATACGACACCAACAAACTCAGGTATGATGTGACAAACGTCCAAAAAGGAAACAATATCTTCTCTTAGTTACGTAATTATAGCTTTTGGTAATACACATGATATATTACCATACCTAGAATAGAACTATGTAATCTATTAAGTATCTTATCCACTGCTTTTCAGGAAAACTCTGTACCAAGGATCTACACTATGCCTCACCCAATAACTGCAATCCAATCTACTAAGAGAGACAGATATGACATGGTATTCTCTTAGATTTGGAATGGAATTATTGAGCATAAGGAGCTACATTGATCTAAAAAGAAAGAGAAAAAAAGGTATGAGACAACACAATCAATTTTCTTACAGCTGGCAAGTCGATGGGAGCAGTTTCCCTCAAGTAAAAGGCCTCCCTGAGGACATCTAAGTCAAATGGCTGTATATGTGTCTTTGTCTCTCTTGAGGACTTATTCTCAATGAGCTGACCCAACTGCATCCCTTCGCCTTTCCGGATTTCTGTGTCTCCAACAACCTTACGAAGGTAATGTGTATCTGAAATCGATAAAGGAAGTGATTTCTTGCAGAAGAACTCATAGTGCGGCAATAATTTGTAATAATTTATAAGATTCACAGCTCCCGTAAGTTCCTTCGGACCTAGATTGCAAATAGCAAAAAGTAGATGGTTACTTGCGCAATAAAGATTAGAAAGAACTAGCCTTTTCAACCTAGTTAGGGTAGGGTACAATGAAACCACTCAGTAACTTTTTTTAAAGAAAATATGACGTAATAACGAATGAGGAAAGAGATCTGAAGAGATCTTTTCAAAACCCTGTCTTTATGTGTGTATGGAACACAATTAATCTAAGTGTGTCAATCTATCTAGTAGAAACGCTTCAAAATAGTAAGGCGCGTCAATTAGACTTGATACAAGTAGTAAATAACATCCTTCATGCAACATCCATTGACGAAGAAAGAAACAGCAATAAATGAAGAGGCTTGTAATTTTTAAATTATGTGCGCGATAATTTTGATGAAAGCATCTCATGCAACCTAGTAGTACTGTTCTGTAATATTTAGTCCATCTTTTTTATAACTTTATTAGTATGCTGCACTGTGGAACAACTGCAATGCTGTATATCCTTTTTTTCTCTAATCAAACTAATTATAGCTTGAGAAAGCCTCAACCTCAAGTTCGTCCGCAAATAAATACAAGATGCTTCCCTGTTCAGCAACATGTTATGAAATTTACATAATGATGTCAGAATTAAGTGCTCCTCTATTGTCCAACTAATATAGATTAGCTTCAAAAACCACTGAGAAGACACCAAATAAAAATATCATATAACAATAGGCGATAAATAAGCAAGCGGTGTCGGAGATAAGAAGCCCGATAACAGGCCACAGGTAACAATATGCTAGACCAAGTGTAAGTCATATAAGATAAATGCTTTAAAAAGATTACTTGAACTTCCAAGAAAATTTTATTTGAGCCAAGTAAGAAAAGTACAATTTACCTTTTCCAAACTTCCTGAATTCTGGATCCATCGTTCAGTATCTCATACAAGGATATATCATTATCACCTGAGATTTTATAGTAAGAATCATAAACATTTCTCGGAGAGGAGATTCTACTAATACTTCTACACCTTCCCTCAAAGATGCAAACAATCATTACTTTTATCATCAGGAATACCTAGGAAGCACAGGAATGGATAGGGATATTGGGTGCTTGGGTTTGGCATTTTAGAAAAATATACCGACTTGATTGCAGCATGTAAGCATGTATTGTGCATCTATACTATGACGCATTGTTTCTTAAATGAAGCTGAAAAAAGTAGCTTAACAAACAAATGCATAGAAGTATCTCAACCCATCCCAAGATAATCCATCAAACTACTTACAATACGATCATCAAAACAAAACAACAATGGCATAAAAAGTCTCGGTACAACAAATAGTTAAGGAAATATAAGATAATCATCCGGAGAGAAATTCATAATCATTACATCATCATCATTTCATGATTTCATTCCGCTCCATTAATAAAAATATGCCTCTTAATTCAGTTCATGATGTAAAAAGTTAAAAAGAAATAGAACATGCGCGTATCATATGAGTATCGGTTGCATATGCACCCAATACAGTTATGCTTGTTTACAGTTAGGCCCACTGAGCTAATTCGTAAGATGCAAAACCAATTCAAATCTCTTCCTGCTAACCGATGCTTGCTACACTATTTATCATAAAGAATTTAACAATCAACATGACGCACTTAGCATAACTTGCTTGAAAGCCATATTTTTGAATCCTACTCTGCTTATAATGACATAATAAATCTAAAACCATGCATCATGCCAATCAACCCCCAAAGGAACAACTTTTAGGAAATCAATACAAAATTCAACCCTAATTCAAACTACACAACTACAGACTAAGTAATTTTCGAATGCAAGCTAGATCCTTCATCCGAATTCTACCCTAAATTTCACACGGAACAACACTAAAGTTACTGATTACTAAGCTTGATTTCATTAGCATAGCACAAGATCCATCCTGACCTCTTATAAACACTTTTTTTAAACCAAATACATCAAATCGGTCAAAATAACATCTTAAAAACTGCATTTTTCTTCAAAAAGAAAAATTGCGAAGTCTTACAATGCGAAGAGCTTACGATACCTGGTACAAAGGAGATTCTGCGAACTCAAAATCGACACAATTGAGACTAGTTTGGCACTCAATCAAGCAAAATCGAGTTATTATTTAGCAAAAATCGGTGAAATCAAGGGTTCCGTGTTCGTCGTCGTGTTTCCCCCTTTAACCGAAATAAACCCTAATACCGGTAAGGGGGTCTGAGAGTTAAAAGGTATTGGTGGGTCTTTAGCATCATGGATTTTATTTGGTTGGACATAAATGCCCTCGATTCAACACATGTGGGAAGGGTAGTCGTTGTCATTTTGTCTACTTTAGACCATCACCCAGGAATCCTGGAGCCATGGAGGGGGGTCGCAGGTGTGTACATTTTGGGTACTCCTAAATATTTTGTCTTCTATTTTAAATTTAATTTTTTTAATAAATGTAAAATAAATATATTAATTTTTACAAATATTTCCTTCAAGAAATATAATTTAGATCCAATATGTTTGTCGACGCACGCTCCTTCTCACCCGACAAGTAACTGTCTGACACAGTGGCTGGCACGATCCATTTTTGACAGCTTTAGTCACGTCAAGGTCAAATCCCGTGAGTTTTATATATATATATATATATATATAAATATATATATGTATATATATATATATGTATATAGATATGTATATATATATATATATGTATGTATGTATATAATCTATCTACCAGGCGTTTTCATTGATTGACATCCATTAGATGTGATGGGGATTGAATCAATCCCATCATATACTGAATGTTGGATTTTACCAACTAATTCAATCCTATTAACATTGGACAACCGATCTAGTCCACTAAAATGGATGATTTGATCGGTTCGGTTTTATCCATTTGATCAAATTGTATCCAACAAATATTAATCGGACTAGATTTATCTTACATCCATTTTTCCAACTATGAAATAAATTAATCGATCACTTTTAATACGTGTTAAAACCAATAAAAGTGATGCTAAAAATCAAAAACCCAATACAAAATAAATTCTGATTTAACCAAATTGGAAGAAAAAAAATTGGATGATAATTTCAACGGTTTGATGGATAATTGGATGGACATCAAATGGTTGATTGAATTGTCAGTGGATGGTTAGTTGGATGGGTAATTGGATATTGGTTGTTTCAGTTCGATCAGTTCTAGACTATCATCCAAGAACCGACCAATTAAAACTAGATGTTGAAATTTTCAATCTGATCCCATTCTGTTAAAAAATTGGATATTCAATTATAGTCGGTCAGTTCTAATTTGATATATTGACCTTCTGCACACCACTACTATCTATTGAATACAATATTTTATCGATAGCAAGTACTTGAAAAACAAATGTTTTATTTTCAAACAATTATAATATAATTTTTAAAACCATATACCAAAAAGGTCGATATATGTATGACATGAAGTGGTTAAACCAATCACCAAACTGGAATTATATATATATTTTTTTATTAACCTGGATATCCAACCCGCTATGCGAGCCGACTAATCTCATGACGACTACCCACTTCACGGGTAGCCCCGAGTCACCGCATTTGAACCTCCGTGACCATAAAGGGGATTTTTATTTCTCCGGAGTCGCCAAATTGGAATTATTAAGGTATAGTACAACTGGTTTATGACCAATGGGTTTACCAGACTTAGTCCTATTGGTTTTGTTTAGCGTTATTATAACATTGTGATTAAATTTTTTTCTTATTCAGTTAATAACATATTGATAATATTTGTTACCGTATCAAATTAATAACATATTGTATTTGAATTACTTTTTTTCAAGTAAATATCATATTATATTGGTTATGGAAAAGCAAAAACCAAAATGTGGCTGCTAAGAACGACGTCGAGATAGATTTTGGAACTATATATCCGTCTCACGGTATTTGTGAGATCGTGTGTAATGGGAGACTTTTAGACGAGTTAACAATAAGTCATTCATTTTCTATGTATATATTGTGATGACGAATCAATAACTCGTGATAATTTTTATAAAAATGTATTTTAGAGTTATTTTTGTAGTTTTTTGTTTCAAATGGACAATAGATGAGTTCATATGAAATATGTATTATACGCAGATAAAATGGCTCTCAGAGCTACACAAAAGAGAGTTCAGTTTTCTATTATGAAATTAAACCATTAGTGGGCTCGATCTCAAATATCTTATTAGCCTCAACCGCTGAGTGAGTCAAAAAATGTCCTCTTACATTGATGTATTTGAAAATGGGTTTTGTATGGAGCTATGTCGCTTTACAAGTAATGGACTTTTTACTGAAATAAACCATTGTTATTACGTACCATACGTACCATATGGGTTTTTTTGGTTGGTTTTTAATACATGTATGAATAAAGTTGTTTATGTGGATTAATCAGTTTGTATAAATTGAGATTATTTTTTGTTTTGGAGTGTTTTTTTTTATAGATGAAATGAATGTGTTTTTTAATTAGGGGGGGATAAGTTTGGGAAAAAAAATTATCTTTCTACTTAAAGCTCTTCTTACTGAATAAATCACTTTCTATATCATTAAGCCACTACAAAACAATTATGTATACTGACCGAAGAAGTTGTAAGGGGATATTTGATTGATTTTCTATTAAGACATGTACGTATAAGTTTGTCTGTATGATAGCATATAAGTTGTTGTTCAGTTGTTATGCTGAATAAACGACTAAATGGTATTTATAACTATTTTACCCTTTGATTTACAATAAACAATATTAGATCAAATTTTACAACAAAGGGTTTAGAACCCTAAATTGATGAAACCCGAAGTTTTAATGGTGATGCTTAGAACATAATCAGTGATTGAGAATGGTATCAAAAGAAACTCAAACGAGATTATGGAGGAAGAAAGGAAAAAGGGTAGTTTGGGGGAAAGTTAATGGAATTTAATGGCCTAGTGTAAAGGATACGAGATTATAGGTGAGCAAATCAGTCATCGACTGAGCGAATAAGCTCCTATCAGACACTTATTTATGGCTACGTGAATAAGTCATATCCATTATACAACCCATTAAGCTCATAACAAACAACCCTTAAGTCTCGTTAAACTAACTAAACTACCAACAAACAGATCATCAATTTACGTAAGACAAATCTGTAAAGGTATGAAATTATAGATAGTTAGACTTGTTTACGTGAAAACCATATATATGTTGAAAAAAAATCAAAACAAGACCCGAATACGAAAGGGAGATTGGCTAAAATAGTCATTTTTGTCATATACAATGTTCTACTAATCATTCTTCTCCATAACTTACCTAAATATTACTACGTTCGCAAGTCTCACGCCCGCCACTTGTGGACCCAGTTAAAAGACATAAAACAGATAATTAGATTTGACCTAGGTCCACATTTGCGACGGTCATGTCTACAATGTGATTTTTTTTGTCTTTTAGATATGTCCGCAAGTGCCTAACGTAAAACTTATGAAGATAGTAATATTTAAATAAATCAGAAAGAAAAAAATATCAGAAAACCAATTTTTACGTAATTTTTTTTTTTTTGATTATTTTGAACAATCTACCATATAAAACTAAAAATAAATAAAGACGAATTTCATACCTACCACCTAATTTATGGGTTGCACGTGCCTGGATTTTACAATATCGAAAATATTGATTTTTTACGCATGCTTCCAGAACAAATCACTTTCCTATTATTATTATTATTATTATTATTAAAACATAAAATTATTTTCTACGTCAGAAAAATTATTTTTAGTCAAATTTAAATTTGAGTTTATTTATTAATTACTTTTAATTAAAATCTAACTTAAT